GTAAGGCAAGTATATTGTTTGAGGTAGACATACCTGCAGCTGCTGCAGAAACGCGTTGAGCGATCTCGTGCGCGTAGTCTTCTTTGATTTCAAATTTCGGAACCAGTCTTTCGGCCTGTGCTTTGCAGAAAGCTTCAATGTCTTCTTCGTTATTGCCTGTGTCCGCTGTAATACTAGGAAGATCGCGATAGTCCTATCGGGCGCTGTCGTGTTGGCTGACGAACACACAATGAATTGCCTCGCGAACCTCTGGACGACCGTTCTCGATTAGGTCTCGAAACCAGCTCACAATTTCCCCTCTTTCCTTTCTTGAACAGCATTCATCCAAGCCGTCAAGCACGATGTAGGCAGACTCACAATTGCCTAAAGCGAACTTCAACAATTCTTCAACGCCGGAGCGAGAAGTCAGCACAGCGCGTCCACTGCTGCAGCATTTGCTATAAAAGTAGTCGAGAATGTGAGGGTTTCTTTCAAGGATTTGGGAAAGCAGAGTACGAGCCATGGAAAGGAAGTTGTTACGATCGCTATCCTCTTGCTTGAAGTAGAAGAACAAGACTGTAGGGCTTGGCTCAAGCTTTCTTGCTTCTTCTACAACAAGGGATGCAAGCACCGTCTTGCCTAAAAGCGCATTGTAAATCATTGTTTAATAAAAGGCAATGGCCAGCTCACCAGAACCAGGTTTTCCATTCAGCCACAACAACTTTGGGATAGCCACTGTATCGGAGTGTTGGTCGAACCACTCTTGAAAGGCCAGATCGTCTAATAACCACATGCAGGTCCCTGGATATGCAATGCGAATACGCTTCAGGTACTCTTGTTCATTTTCCATGTCGGTAGGCTTAATCCATGCATAGACTGCATGTTTGCGAGCCAAGTTTTCTCTATCAGCTGCATCATTCAGTGCTTCCTCTTCATGTACGGAATTGATTTCAAATGAGTCAAATTGATCTAAACCTGCCCGGTCATTAACAAGCTTGCGGCGAGACATCATGCGAGATATGATGGTCGTGAGTCTAGATTTTTGCCGCTTCCATGTTGTAGGAAAAAGCTCTGTCCAGACTAGTCGCTATTAACATAAAGCCAAGATCAAATGATGGGGCTGTCTTACGACGCTGTTGGAAGTAGATGATGAGCCATCGATTGACTTGGATGATGTCACTGTATGCGGCAATTAAGATCTTGGTCAGGCTTGGCTCAACCTGGAACAACTCTTTGTACATGGACGAAAAGGGTTGAGCTCTTCCAATCTGTCCATAAATGTCGAGAATACTATTGAAAGCGTCTGGGTAGGTGTTTGTTGACTTTTCTTTGGATCAGTCATACCCTCTGACTGAATGAAACGAACATACCTCGAGTAAGAATTTTAAGGGTCCCTTGAAGGATTCGGTCAGTTAGGCGTTTACTCTGCTGAAAGAACACCACTTACCCAGATGAAGCCCATGATTTCCTGAACTCTGGGTAGTGTTGCGACAAGCTCGGCAAACTCGCCGAATCTCTCGAGAAACGGGCCCAGACGGGCAAGGCCTTGTTGGCGACCCGCTGCGTGCTGCATATGTTGTAAATTGACGACGTATTGCTTGAGGATATTCACAGTTGTGGCAGGAAATCTTTTTCCATTTCTCCTGTTTAAGATATCTGTAAACCCTGTGAGGCATGCTTCCATTAAAGATTGCAACCGCTCCGCGTCCTGGAGATGTTCGTCAAAGCCGAGTTGTCCAACCCCGTTGTCAAGCAAAATTGGTGGTAAACCTTCTTTGCGTAATCTCTTGAGCGTTTCGGCAATTTGTGCTGCATCAAGAGTAATTTCTTCCCCTGGCATATCCAGTAAATCAGCGGAAGTGCGATCCCGTTTGAACATTCGATCCAAGACTCCAAAGAACTCTTTAGTGTAAAAGTTTCTTTGAAATTGTATTTTCAAGTCGCCATTCGTTGGTATGGTGGATTGAACATGATCGTAGAGCTGAGCATGCATGCGTACCACGGCGTCCTTCACTTTTTGCCCACGGAAGAAGCGTGGAATGTCCCTGCCCGATGGTCCATCGGCCATGCGAGCATTTCTATAGTCGTTGACTCCCTGTGGGCCTTGTATGTCACAGGCTGCAACTTCAGACATGATGCATCCTAGCGACCATATGTCACAGTCTCGAGTGTATTTAGATTGGNGCGTAGAAGCCAGTAACGTGATTGTTCGGGATGCCGGTCATGTCGGTATCGCCGGGCAATGCTACAGGCCTCAGTTCCAGCAGGCCAAAATCTGCAATCTTTAGCTTCCTCTTCACTATCAGAATGTTTGCGGGTTTCAAGTCCTGATGGTAGGCGATCTTGGTGTCTTTGTAAAGGTTGTGGAGCATGCTCAGTCCTTCAGCAATGCCCTGCATCTGCGTCCAGAGCTCTTGGGGCTCAAACGTGTCACTTGGGTCTTTAAGGTAATCGTGAAGTGATTGCTCCGCTTCCTCCTGGAGGATGAAAAAGTAACTGCCATGCCAATACGCTCCCAAAGCCGGCATAAGGTGCGGGTGGTCTTTCTCCTTGGAAAGTCTCTGGAGATTGTACCATTCTTTTGCGGCTGATCTGTGCATGCCATGCTTGAATATCTTCCGAGCAAATCTTGTGATATGCTGCACAAGTTAGAAAACACATGCAGTCATCTTTGGGGAATCTTACTGTTCCGAAGTCTCGTGACCGATATTCGTCATATTGGAACTCGAAGCATCGGACTTGTGCAAATGTTCCCTCCCCCTTGAGCTCTGCATCCTCTTTGATTGGCAACAGCTCCCTTGCTGGAATGGATATAATGTCTGATGCGGGTCGAAGTGTGCGTACTAGAAAGCTGTATTGGTGGTGCAGTGTCTTTCTTTGTACCAACTCCAGGTCAAGTATCCGCTCGCGACGAAGGCTGTCGAAGTCAGCGTCGCAAAGATACTTTGTTCCTTCCAGCTTCAGTTCGTACTTTTGGAACTTTTGGATGAGACCTGGGCGGCGGATATAGACGAGAAGTGCGTAGATAAGAGAATACTCTTCCCTCAGCTCCTGGTCCCTAAGCTTGTTGAAACAGTCGGAACGATAATCTACTGGCCCACCGTCTTTTGTGCAACGCGGACAGGGGCAGAGAAACAGTGATCCTGTTGTCAAACCATGGGGCTTGGCTTAGAACAAGGCTTTGATCTTATGCAAAGGGATATAAAAAGAGGCACTACCGGAAGGAAGACATTCGCTGACAGGCCTCACCTCACTATGTTCTAGGTAGTCGAGGGCAACGGTGCATGGATGGCCTGCATCCATGGTAGTCAGCCTGGATGAGGTCTACGGGTGCTGAGCGATGCTGGGTGACGTGTTGGCCAGATGTGGTTTCGCTGGACAAGGAAGAGCCGCGAGAGACAAAGAAGCTACCGTGGTTGTGATCACCGGTCAACTGGCGCATTTCCAATTGCTGCATTTGGCACTGATTGAAACACAAGCAACTTGTCCGATCAAAAAGAAGCTGCTTGGGTGGGATTGCTTGACATGCTTTTGCCAGATGGACTTTGGCGTGTGCGAGCAATACCATTGAGTAGCAAGCGCGCACATGTCTAGGCGCCAGCGGCTAGAGATGGACCAATCACCCATTAGTCTACTCGGCGGAGTGAGAAATGGCGTTGTTCGAGAAGGCCAGGCGAGGGGGTGGAGGCTATGTAGGCATGTACTATGCCAGGGTAGGCGAAACCTTGGGTAGCTTACAAGGCAGACACCACATTCGTCCACTAAGACGACGGCTCCGCCCACGCTTGTGCTAGTTTCAACGTTGACAAAGTGGCAAGATTTAACGACTACTTGCTGCTGAGCCGTAATTTTGAAGCTGACAGCAGCCTTCGGGGCCAGACGCAAGTTGCGAGCTGCGAGAGCCCAACCAATCCAATCATGACGCCATCTCAACAACCAGTCCCAGTCCCTCCCTCGTGAATGAAGTGCTGGAGCTCGGTATACGAGCACCATGACCTGGGCAATGACAACTCTCTGTCGTTGCTGAGCCGCTATATAATTACGATGGCTTTGTGTGAGCCTCAGGACCCGAAAGGTGAGTGCTGATGCGCTGGGATTACATCTATGAGGCGTACGGCGTATGTGTCGATTCGCAGGTAACTGATGCTCAACTCAAGATTTGCCTGAATCACGGCTTAGCAGTTTCCTCCAAATGCCTTAACTCTCTTCACTGGTGGCTAATTTTCTTTGAGAATTGCGCACTCTCCTCACTGAAACATGCGTGATTGGCTGCCTTGTCATCTCCAGCTCGATACAGAAGACGGGCTGGCGCCTGCACCGTGTGGATATTACCCGGCGTTAGCGTCTTGGTAGATTGGGTCCAGATCGCTCTAACAAGACTCTGGTTCAGCAACTGAACCAATCGTTGTCATTTCTGGCTCGCGATCCCTTGATTCTGGGGGATTTTGGGGGATGTGTAGACCACGAGCTGCATTTCCTGCTCCACTTCTACCCCCGAGTTGCTGAGCCGTAATGTTGCCTGGCAGGGGCACATTTGGCCTCTTCCATGTGACACAATTATCCGAGTTAGCAGCAGCTTTTGGGCTTATCATGCCTCAGGCCTTGCTTCCCTCTCAGGTTTGCGTGAAACCGAAAGGGGATTCTTCGGGGTAGGTACAATACCACGCCGTTGCTAGAGACCTAGGTGTTAATGTCGCACATAATCTGGAATAGCTGAAATTCAATGTGAACAAAGTCCATGAGCGATAGCCAACTAGTAAAAAGACGCGTTTGAGCGCTATGCACTGGGGCGTGTGAATGTCTGGGGCTATAATTTATCCTGCCACTTCAGGCTACGTCAATCGGATCAGACGTCGACCCTCGCATTGCGCGTCGTCTCCAGATAACCCAGAGCATGACAGCCGACCCAGAGAATGCGCAAGTCATGATGACATACACCCACAAGTTGGATGCAACAGTCAAAGCATTTTCACGCTCAGAATACACCAAAAAGTTGGACCCAAACAATGTCTAGCCATCAATTAGTCGCACCAAGTGACCAGTTTGTGAGTGTGCAACCAACTTACCGCGAGGAAGGTTGCAGGTAAAAATATCGCAGAGATTAATGCGATTGCCATCATGGACCTTGTGTCTTTCGTAGACTGTTCTGTAAGCCGTTTGATGAATCCGTTTTCTTTGATGCCTTGTTCTGTCAATCTTTGCATCTCATGGTTAATGTGCTTGCTTGCTTCGTTCGATCGGAAGTCTTGGATGCCCTGGACCTGTGCGTGAATGATTTCAGCAACGTCCTAGTCAACGTGCAGACAAATGCTCACAAGTTGACCGATTCCGCCAGACCTCGCAATTAGCGTTTCAATCCTAGCCAGACTCATCTCTTGTCCGTACACGTATCCGTCTAATCGAGCTTGCATCTCGCCCAGGCCGATTTGCAAACTCGGTGATGACATCGTCTTCAGGTCGGATATTCCACCTTTTAGTTGACGTCCTAGTCGAATGTTCATCTTCAGTATATGGGCCAGTCGCAGCAGCTTGTCGGTCAGGATATGTAGCTTCCTGAGGTCTGAAAAGTCGGCTTGCACGTCGCCTTCATCATGGAGCTCTTTGACATTGGTGAAGAAGCCTCGATCAACCTGAACCACCGGTCAACCCCGTCCCCGCTTATGAGTGCCTATACCCACGATTTTGGAGAATTCATCTTCAAGATACATCAAATACTCACGCCAATCCTCAGATAATTGAACGAGCAACATTGAATGCTGCAAAACCTGACTTGTAGGCGAGCGATTGTCAAGGCACTCGAGGTTATGCCTTAGCCGATCTTTGAGATGGTTCGGGGCTTGCAAGAATACCCACCGACACTGTTGATCCGAAGACGAAAAGTGTTGATAGACACCAACCTCTCTAATCGAAAATGGGTCCGATGGATAGCGTCGGCCGTGTTTTGCGACATACTTGATGTTGTATCCGACATCTTACACATAGCTTAGCGACAAGTCTCAAGTTGAATGCCAGGGGAAATACAGTAGCTGCAGTCTCGGCCTGATATGGAGTCATGGCTGAAATCATGTCGCTCAGACATGTGCATGAATAGCGAACTGAACCCTTCTTCCACAGGTCCTGTCTTTTCGCAAAACAAGCGGACTACATGCAAAAAATCAGGGTGAACAGCCATTCGCGTGAAGAGCTGTCGAAAATGCTCCTCACTAATGCAAAGCCGACTCCACGTGTAGCTTTGATCGATGAAACTGTGCTTGATGATCAGCTTTGGCCTGCCTCATCCAAGAAGCATTTACTAGTACTGACACGAGTGATGTCGTAGAACCAAGCCCTAAGACTGCATTTAAGCTTTTGGTGCTTCCGATCTGCTCCGTCAACACTTTGTGCCCGCCATCTGTTCATCCGTTAATCGGACTCTGGTTGGTATACAAGATAGGGTGACTTGCCATCGTGTGGTACGCCGATGGCTGTGAATTCAAATGTCGAATCGTCATTGGCGACAAACAGCTGTTTGCTCAGCTGGCTTAGCCTGGCATCGTGGCGAGACGCGTCCGAGTCAAGCGAGGCAAGACCAAGATTTTGAGGGTACCTCTCCCCACCGTAGTTATCATCTGCTTGTAATGGACACATGTTTTTCGATGCTACTAGGTCATCTGTACACCGTTGCTTTATAGACGGCAAGCTTGTACGTATACTAGTTCACCGGTGGTCTGTACTAGCCGCTCTGTCGCAGTCCAGGTGCTAGGCTGAACCAAGAGATTCTGGCTGTCTAACCCGCCCCACCCCCAAAACTCTGCCTGGATGCGCACTGCAACAGATGAAAGACCAATATGTAATTGAAGCTAACTAGAGGCTTGAGAGGTCGAGGGCGCTTCCACGCTGCGCTAGTGAAGCTCGAGTTCCTCGCCTAGCTGCTTGCCCTCTGGACGGCATCTTTACGTGCTACTACTACTACTACTATTGTTGTTTCCCCAGTTGCTTTGCCATTAGCCAAGTGCCTGCCTGAACTTTCTTTGCAAGTCTACGAGCTCATCCTGTTCACGTTAACAGAGCTGCCACACACGACATATCGCTGAAATCCCCTACACGAGTGAGCTCTCGTGGAACCTTGATTTTCCATTTCTCTCCTTCGTCGGGTACCTGTCGGGCATCCATCAGCAGCGCTTGTGCATTGGTTCCAGGAAGCACATGCATACCACGATTTCATAAGAAGAAGCTCCAAACATTGATGTCAGGAAATCCACCAAGACATCATACTCTACTGTATAGCGACTTTCGATAACCTGTATAACCATTGTGTTTTGGGTGATGTCGGACGAGAATGGCAAACGTCAACTGCGCTTGCTTTTGTGGGCTGAGCATTGCTGTTGGCGGTGCGGGCCCAACGTCGCTCAGCCTCGTACACAGGCGAGGCAGAGTCGCCCTTGGCCAAGGCCTAGAGCCAGCTGTACATGCATACTACTTCATACGTAGCACTGCCACAACGACCAAGCATCAACCAACATATGATTTTTCCGCCTCCGCCAGCCCCCCTTCCCCCTTCGTTTCATCACATTGATCTTATTGCCATATGATTACCTTACTCTAGTGACACCAAGCAAACAACAACTTCGACATGTTGTCATGCAATTAACAAGGGTAATAGAAATAGCCAGTTTGAGAAGCAGAATTGATGGATGCAGCTCTTTACAGCCGCATGGCCTTGAAACGGCCATGTCCCTCCGAAACCGATCATGCGCCTATATCACAGTACGGGCGACAACAACAACAACAACAACAACAACACCACCACCAACATCCTCGTGACGTTACACCGATCAATGAGCCGTTGTATCTACTGGGCTCGGTAAGAGTGATACAACAATTAGCCCAGAGAATCCTGCTAAGTCCTTTACAGGTTATCGATGTGAAAGCACAGGCTCAATGGGAAGAATGGGACTTTATTCGCCATAGATATTCTCTTGGACCACACCAACAAGTTGCCACGTTCGACATCTCCCCAAAAAGCGATTACTTTGAGCTCTCAATCAATGGTCACGCGTTTGCACGTCTCGACAAGGCCTTCTGTAGCGAGGCTCGCCAACTCGTCGGACTTGAAGTCAGGCTTCAGGCGTGCTTGGAGCGAAAGCATTGGGAGCAAGTTTCAACAACATGGGCACCACATGCAAGAAGTACAGTGACGTTATCAGTCGATGTAAACGTAAAGAGCTTGATGAATCACGCTGACAAAGTCGGTAATATACTCCTTGGCTCTGGAATCTTCTTGCAATCCCCTTCGCAGAATCCGAGTGCAGAGATCTACTACAACCCTCAGATTCTCCAACTCGATGGATTCCATGAGAAAGCTGACGAAACAATGACCGAGGTAGAGGATATGCCAACGCCTGCTGCCGTTACAGATCAAGTAGCTCAGAGTAATCGAAAGTCTCCCCAAAACCCCCAAGACCACGTTAACCAGATTCTTGATTCGCTTTCCCACAAAGACATCCTGCACGAGATCTGTACCGATACTAAGCGCATCAAGAGCACACTTATGCAGTAAGTAGCACTAAACTTGAGGCACGTAAATGTAAATTGACTCATATCCTAGGCACCAAATGATGGCGTTAGACTTCATTGAACGGCGAGAAAGCGGTAGTCCTTCGACAGAGTTTACCTTTTGGAGAGAGAGGCGCAGAAACGGTGAAACCTGGTATGTTTCCATGGTACATGTAGCTGAAGAAATGTTGAACTGACTGTCTTTTAGTTTTCAGAATGTACTGACAAAGTTCGAAGCCCTCAAGCGCTGCGAGGCTAGGGGCGGTATCCTTGCAGATGACATGGGACTGGGCAAGTCATTGACCATGTTATCGGCTATTGCCAAAACTCTTCAAGATGCCGAGAGCTTTGCCTCGGCCTCGACAGCGAATGCGACAGGCTCATCAACCGTCCGGAAGCCCTCACGAGCGACCTTGATCGTCGTTCCGTCTACAAGTAAATGCACTCTGAGCTAGGCCCCAGCGTTATTCGAATAACAAAAGCTGACTTTGATAGCTTTGATCGATAATTGGGTCGATGAGATCCGCACGTAAGCTCTTTAGCTCTGTGTTGTGTGTCAATCTGTTAATGCTCCTAGACACACCTATCCACACAAAGTGACGTTCCACAAACACATCAGTACGGAACGACATGCAGAAGCACACCTCCTTTTTGAGAAAGACGTCATTTTCACCACATATGCCACCGCCTTGGAAGACACCAAGAAAAGTCCGTCACCCTTATCAAGTGTTCACTGGTTTCGGATCGTGCTGGATGAAGGTAAATCTTATGTGATCAAAGCATCTCTTTGTTCACTAACCAGCTATCGTATAGCTCATAAGATACGGAATCAAAAGACCAAGTTGTTCAAGGCAATTCAAGAGCTTCCGGCGCATCGTCGTTGGTGTCTTACTGGAACGCCCATCCAGAATCGTCTCGAAGATTTGGGTAGCCTTGTTGCCTTCCTCCGCCTCACGGAGCTGTCACGCATATCGATTTTCCGCACCTACATTATTACGCCAACGCTCAGTCACCGGAAAAATCAGTTTGGGAATTTGCAGATATTACTCAGAACCATCTGTCTCCGGCGAACACGAGAAATTCTCGACCTGCCTCAGCCCATAGCCTCCCCGCGGTTGATCCATTTATCAGATCAGGAGCGCCATCAGTATGACAGCCTATACGAGCATTATAAAAAACAGGTTCAGATGGCTGTTAGTAGCAATGGAAGATACGCGTCGACTACTATTCAGTCCATCCACGAACTGCGACTCTTCTGTAACAATGGACTTAGGGGAACACAAGATGAACTCCATGGATCAGACGATGAGAGGCTCTCTTATCTGCTGCACCTTGAAAGAAACGCATGTGCTAATTGTGGGATCAGCATCTTTTGCATCGACACAGAGGAGGGCCGGGATCGAGGTATGTTTATCCGGCCATGCAGCCATCTTGTTTGTCACAGCTGCTGGCCACGGTGTTTGGAGAAAAGGCAAGGAACGCGTTGTCTGCTTTGTGCAAAGGGCCATGCCCCACCAGACTTTACTACCCATATCAGTACCACAGGACTTCCCAATGCGGCCAACAAAGTTGCGCTCCCTTATCCATCCAAACTGTTGGCTCTGCTCGACGACATAAAACAATCACTTGGCGAAAAGTGGTCAGTTTCCTCAAGCTGCGGTCCAGAGACAGGGTTTAACGGAATCATTAGCATTGTATTCTCTGCCTGGAAGAAAACTTTGGACCTTGCGGCTGAGCTTTTCACTGGAGCTGGCTTAAAGCATGACATGATTCAAGGAAGTCTAAGTTCGAAACAGAGGTTAAAAGTCCTGAAAACTTTTAAATCTCTCATGGGGCCTAACATCATCTTCATGACACTAGGGACAGGGGCCGAAGGGTTTGTACCCATGTATCCGCCGGAAAATAGCGCTGTGAGTATTGACGGACTTAGGTTAAATTTGACGATTGCGACACGCATATATCTGCTAGAACCGCAATGGAACCCCTTTGTGGAGCTGCAGGCAATGGCAAGAGCGCAGCGAATCGGACAGACCAAGCAAGTCGTCTGCGTACGATATGTGACAGAACGGACGATTGAGCAAGTGAGAGAGACTCGATTACAACCAGCTCTCGGTGATTACTTACACTATAATAGAATGATGTCCTGAATCGTCAGATAACGAAGACGAGACTAGCTGGTGGAGGTTTTAAAACTCAGAATATAAGTGATTCCCTTGTAAGATAGCGATATTCAGATACTCAAAGGTTTATACTAATAGTTAGTAGCACTTCTTTAATATTCGTTATTAAGAAAGACGTTAGCTAATAGATAAGTAAGAAGAGATATCTAAAAAATTTACTAATTAATTTATAAATAATAAATATATCGCTTGACTTTTATCCCTCTATTTACTATATAGCGTATTAGATTAATTATCTTAGAAAAGAATAGTAGGCTATACTCTAACCTACTAGAATTAAGTATT